AGGCCCCTTCCAGCCAGACTGGTGTGCTCTCTAATCCATGAGGATTATCTGTAGTAACCGCCGTGCCCAGGCTCCCAGTGTAAGGCTGTAAGGCAGGCAGGCTTCCCAAAGGCCTGGGGTTGTTCACCGAGGGAAAAGCCAGCTCTTTTGGATACTGCACAGACTATTGCTTTGTGAATACCTCCTGCCATGGGCCCAGGGACATCTCAGTAATGGTAACCATGAGGGCAAATTGTTTTTAATCAGTCTATAAGACTGAGTAACAGTGTTAATGATTAATAATAATAATAATAACAGCATCATGAAGCTCTTTAAAGCTTGCAAAGTGCTTTACAGATGTTATGGCATTCGGTCCTCACAATAACCCTGGGAGGAAGATGTTATAATTATTCCCATTTTAAAGTTGGAGAATCTAAGACGAATGGTGGTTCTGTGACTTACTTACTAATCATTCATGACAGAATTTGAATGCGGGCCTTCCTGTCTCCCAGGCTGGCACTCTCTCCATGATACCAGCTAGCTGCCTGGATACTTCTGCTACTTAATGCTGTGCTGTTCCTTATCAGTAATTGCCCCAAAGCCACCAAAACCCAGAATCCCTCTGGGAAATCTGCATTGGCCCCAACCACATTCTCCCCCACCTCCTCTTCTCCTTGCCTTTCATTCCTACCTACTTTCTGTGATTCCAGCCAAAGAGAGCAGAAACAAGTATTGACTGAATTCTTTTTAAAGCAAAAGTCCAAATCTCTCTTTATCAGTCATGTCTTGTTCAGTACCTGCTTTGTGCCATGTCCTTGCTAGGAGTGAGGGTTCAAAGTAGAGCAAGTATGCTCCAGCTCACCAGACTGGAACCAAGATAGCCACATCTTCCCCTCAGGGTATGGGGGGTACCCTGAAGAGCTTGGGGTTGTCTCTGCTCTCAGCTTGAGGCCCCCCATATTCCTCCACTGTTTGTCAGGTATCCTTGACAAGCACACAAGTACCATTTTAACTACTTAACACCAGTTAAGTTTTGCAAAACAATATTTACTTCAAAGTTATAGTAAAAACAAATGTATCAACATTCCCTTCACCCCCACCACCCCATGCCCTCACTCTCCCTGAGGCAGGCAGGCTCTCTTTGTGTTCCTGCATAGCATTGGTTCCAACCGGTTCACACCCAAAAGCACATCAACACCAGCTGCTTCCTTGTCTCAGCTACTTCTGCCCTGCAGTTCTCAAGGTCGCCCCGTGCTCCCCAGCACATCAGTGCTAGGTTGGCACAAATCCAAGCCTGGACTCCTATTCCTGGATTCCTGTGGCTTACTCTTCTGCCCCTTGGAAAAATCTCCTTCACCCAAAATGGGAAAGGGCAAACACAGACACCAAGGACCAAAGTTCAGCTTTTTTGGGGCCAGAGGAAGAATTCTCCTCCTTGAGCAGCGGCCTCTCATTGGACGTTGAGAGCTCAGGTACAATGAACAAAGAGGAAGAGAGAGATGGACAAAGCTGCCAAAGCCTCTTGAGTGCTCGAGTAGGCAGTTAAAAAGCCTCTCGTTCACCATGTGGTTAGCAGATGGGATGGAGCCCCAGCTCCTCCAGAAGCAGGTTCCTCCCCTTCTCCCCATGGGCAGCCACTCCAGCGGCATTTGGCACAGGGGCCAGACCCCCATTACAAAAGAAAAAAAGCAAAAAGTCCTTGCCTTCCATGGGTTTACAATCTATAAAATCATGTGGATGCTGTGGGAGAAACAGAGTTGAGATACGACAGAAACCCTGCCGTCATGGAGGTCACAGTCAAGTACAGATCCATGACTCTACACAGATATCACTGCAATACAATATCTTGTAAGAGAAATGCATTTTAGTGGTGCCAGAGAAAGGGAAGATTGAGCTGGGGGGAGAAAAGGGAGAGATGGGCAGAGAGGGCAATCCACAAAGGCTTCTGGGAGGAGGAGGACCTCCTTGCTTGCTTTAGGGACTATGCTTTGTTTTCATGACTTCGAGTCCCCTCAAAGGGTGGCAATTGACGTTCACAGTTGAATATATATGTGGATGTGGAAAGGTGGGAGGTGAGTCTGCATGGGCCCACCAGTTATTCACCACTGTGGATTTTTCTTCATTCCCTCACACAGTTATTGTGGAAACTTGTAAACCTTACTTGGAGAAAATGGATAAAAGCACCATCATATCATGGACCTAGAGCTGGAAGCCCCCACAGAGACCCCTGAGTCCAACCTTTCATTTAACACTGTAGGCAGCTGAAGCCGAAGAAAGCAAAGTGACTTTCCCAAGTCACACAGTAAATAACAAAACTGGAATTTGAACCCAAGTCCTTGGTGCAGTGGATAGAGTACTGGCCCTAGGGTTAGAAGGGCCTGAATTCAAATTTGACCTCAGATACTTACTAGCTGTGTGACCCTGGGCAAGTGACTTAACTCTGTTTACCTCAGTTGCCTCATCTGTAAAGTGAGCTGGAGTAGGAAACAGCAAACCCCTACCATGTCTTTGCCAAGAAAACCCCAATGGGATCACAAAGAGCTGGACATGACTGAAACAACTCATCAAAAACCTTTGACTACAAATTCAGCTCTCCTCCCAGTGTATCATGATGAAACAGGGAAGTGAGGCATGTAACCATGAATCATAACTCTTCAGTGAAAATTGAAATCCTGGTGTACTGTTGAAGACAAATTATGAGACTTCTGAAAAGCAGAGCCATCCCTACCCATAGGCACAGGAGGTGACTGCCTTCACAGGAATTTCCAGAGTGTTGTCTTTGTCATGGCCTCGGAAAGTTAGAAATGGCTTTGGCAGGCATGTCAGCCAAGACTTATTTCATGGATGAGAAATTGAGGACCAAACAGAAGAAGCCACTTGTCCAAGTTCACAGAGATAGTGAATGACTGAGGCAGGAAGCTGGCCTGGATTTCCCAGCTCCAGACCCAGTTCTTGCCAGTACACAGTGGAAGGGGCTTCAGGGTCTAGAATGTGGCTCCCAATGGCCTCTCTTGGCATTATTCTCTCCCCTCATGGGGCCTGAAAGCTTGTCCTTTAGAGCCATGCTTTTGATTGAGGCAACAGAAGTTGGATCTTTGTTTGCAGGTCACTGTGAAAGGAATAGAGAAAGGAAACATCTCCTCTCTCCTCTGGAGATTTAGGACAAAGTTATCAGGGTGACTAATTAGCACTGTCTGATGGCCAAAAGTGAAGAGGAATTAAGAAACCTCTTGATGAAAGTAAAAGAGGAGAGTGTAAAAGCTGGTTTGAAGCTTAACGTCAAAAAAATTAAGGTGTTGGCTACTGGTCCCATCACTTCCCGGCAAATAGAGGAAGAAGTAATGGAAGCAGTGTCAGATTTTACATTCTTGGGCTCAAGGATCACTGAAGAGGAAGACTACAGCCATGAAATTAAAAGACACTCACTCTCTGGAAGACAAGCTACGACAAATCTGGACAGCATACTAAAAACGAGAACATCACCTTGCTGACAAAGGTCCTTATAGACAAAGCAATGGTTTTTCCAGTAGTAATGTGTAGTTGTGAGAGTCTGATTACAAGGAAAGCTGAGTGCCACAGAATCAACGCTTTTGAATTGTGGTGCTGGAGAAGACTTTTGAATGTTCCCTGGACAGCAAGGAGATCAAATCAGTTAACACTTAAAGAAATTAATTCAGGCTGTTCACTGGAAGGGTAAATACTGAAGCTGAAGGTTAAATACTCTGGCCACATTATGAGAAGATAGGACTCATTGGAAAAGACCCTAAGGTTGGGAAGGATTGAAGGCAAAAAGAGAAGGGGACAGCAGAGGATGAGATAGATAGATAGTGTGATGGAAATTGAACATAACTGTAAACAGACTTAGAGATATAGTGGAGGATAAAAGGATCTGGCATGCTGTGGTTCATGGGGTCATGAAGAGTCAGACATGACTGAATGAGTGAAGAACAACAATTAGCACTGGGGAAAGGAAGTTTGACTGATGGAATTAGATGAAGATGATGATGATGATGATGATGATGATGATGCAGCTGTTGAGTCACTGGAAGATCTGAGTTCAAATCTAGCCTCAGTCATTTATTATCTGTGTAACTTCCTTTTGCCTCAGTTTCCTCATCTATAAAATGAGGACGATGTTTCGTTGTTTTCAGTCACATTTGACTCTTTGTAACCCTATCTGGGGCTTTCTTTTTCTTTAATTTTTTGGCAATTGGGGTAAGTGACTTGCCCAGGGTCACACAGCTAGTAAGTGTCAAGTGTTTGGTCTGAGGCCGGATTTGAACTCAAGTCCTCCTGACTTCAGGGCCGGTGCTCTATTCACTGCATCACCTAGCTGCCCCTATTTGGGGCTTTCTTCACAAAGATACTGGAGTGGTTTGCCATTTTATTCTCCAGCTCATTTTACAGATGAGGAAACTGAGGCAAACAGGGTCACATGGCTAGTAAGTGTCTGAGGCCAGATTTGAAATTAGGAAGATGAGTCTTTCTGACTCCAGGCTCAGTGCTCTATCCACTGGGACACTGCTGCCCAAGGATAATAATAAGCACCTACCTTTCAGTGTTATTGTGAAGATCAAGTGAGGTAATATTTGTAAATTTCTTCACACAGTTCCCAGCACATAGTAGGTGCTATATAAATACTTATTCTCTTCCTTTCCTCCCTTAATAATCACTAGCATTTACATAGCTCTTTCAGCTTTGCAAAGCACTTTATATATTATACACAATTCTGATAGGTAGGTACTACAGGTATTATCATTTTCTCCCTCTCTCTCCCTCCCTCCATCCCTCCTCTCTCTCTCTCATCTCTGTCTCTTTCTCTATCTTCCCCCCCTCTCCCTTTCTCTCTCTCTATCCCCTCTTCTTCCTCCCTCTCCCCACTGTGATTTCATCAGAGATCTGTCAGTGATGAAATGGCTTTTATCAATGTAAATCCTGCACCTCTTTAACTGTCTTAGAGATCGGATCACAAAGACGTTAAGCCACTTGCCTGGGATAACAGAGCCAGATGGGCCACAAGAGAGGTTTAAACTGGGTCTTCTTGACTTTCAGTTCAGCCATACCACACAGATGCTATAGAAGTGCCCACCCATTCCCTTCCCTTTTCCTTACTTCTTCCCTCCTTTAATGACGAGGCTAAATGTCTTTTCCTTGATCCCCAGATGGGATTTTCCACTATCCCATAGAGCCTCTTACATGAGATTCAAGATAGCAGAAGTTCAGAGGAGGGGGAAGGAGGACACAGGGCCTCAAGGAGACTTGGGTAGCATTGGGCTACCTTGGTGGGCACTGAGCAAGAAGTGAAGGAGCTGAAAGGAAAGTCTGCCTCTTTGCTTATGGACTGTGCCCCTGATGGACTCCTTAGCCGTGGACATCTAGGATGATTGACCCTTCTTTATAGGTTCTGCCTCATCAGCGAGATGATTTTACTGTAAACCCTTTCAGGTGCATCAAGGGCCCAGATGAAGTCTACATGGTTCCAGTCTGGCAGCATCTCATAGAAACGGAGATTCTTGATTTTGGGGAGTAGCATGGCTACATCACGAAGGTCAACAAGGAGATCTTTCCCACCAGCCCAGATGGCTGTGGGCACCTTGATGGTAGTCAAGTCATAGAGTGGAGGGATGCTCTGTTGGGGAGGAAAAAAGGGTTTTTCAGAAGGAAGTTGTTATCATAGCAACCCAAAGATGAACATATTCGGGACTGGAAGGGACCTGAAGTGGATCCCCTAATTTTACAGAGGAAGAAATTGAGGCGTGGAGAAGTTAAATAGCTTTTCTAAGATCTTTCCATGGATAGTAACATCATTTGCTCTTACCCTTATTTTTACTCTGTGTGTGTCTGTTTCAAGCATGTTTCTTGCAAACAACATATTGTTGGATTCTGGTTTCTAACCCATTCTGCTATCTGCTTCCATTTCTCCCCCCTCCCCATTTATCCTTTCCTAAAAGTGAGCTTTTTATCCTGTTACTCATCAAAAGTCTGTTTTGCTTCTGACCATTTTTTTTCTTAATCTCTCCTCCCTTTTATCAATCCTCCTCTCTCTCTCTTATCCCCTTCCCCTCCTACTTTCCTGTTGGGCAAGATAGATTTTTGTACCCATCTGAGTGTGTATGTTATTCCCTTTTTGAACTAATTCTTATGAGAATGAGGTTCAAGCATTTCCCACCACATATTCCTTTCCCCCTCTTCTGTAAAAACTCTTTCTTGCATGCCTCTCTCATGTGAGATATTTTTCTTTCCTCCTCTCTTTTCCCCCTTCTCCTAGTGCATCCCTCTTTTCTGCTCTTTAGGTTTTTTTTGAGATCTTTCCATCAAAGTCACCTCATACCCATGCTTTCTGTCTATATATGTCCCCTTTAACTACCCTCATAATGATAAAGTTCTTAAGAGTTGAAAGTATTAACTTCCCATATAGGAATGTAAACCGTTTAAATTTATTGAGTCCCTTTTGATTTATCTTTCATGTTTACCTTTCTATGCTTCTCTTGAGTTTTATCTTTGAATGTAAATTTTTCTATTTAGCTCTGGTCTTTTTTTTTATTATTAGGAATGCTTGAAATTCCTCCATTTCATTAATTATCCATGTTTTCCCCTGAAGGATTACACTCAGTTTTGTTGGATAGTTTATTCTTGTCTTGGTTGTAATCAGTTCTTTTGCCTTCTGGAAAATCATGTCCCAAACCCTCTGCTCCTTTATTATTTAAGCTGCTAAATCTTGTGTGATCCTGACTGTGGCTCCATTATGTTTGAATTATTTATTTTTTTATTTACTTGGCTACTTACAATATTTTCTCCTTGACCTGGGAGAGCTGGAATTTGGTTATAATGTTCCTGGAAGTTTTCATTTTGGAATCTCTTTCAGGGAATGATTGGTGGATTCTTTCAACTTCTATTTTACACTCTGATTCTAGAATACCAAGCCAGTTTTCTTTGATAATTTTTTGAAATAGGATGTCTAGACTCTTTTTTTTATCATAGCTTTCAGATATTCCAATAATTCATAAATTATTTCTCCTCAATCTATTTTCCAGGTTGGTTGTTTTTCTGATGAGATGTTACATATTTTCTTCTATTTTTTATTCTTACAACTTTGTTTTATTGTTTCTTGATGACTCATGGAGTTATTAGTTTCCAGTTGCCCAATTCTAATTTTTTATGGACTTGTTTCCTTCAGTGAGCATCTGTACCTCTTTTCCAGTTGGCCAGTTCTGCTTTTTAAGGAGCTGTTTTCTTCAGTCAATTTTTTTTACCTCCTTTTCAATTTGGCTTAGTCTGCTTTTTGAGGAGTGCTTTTTTAAAAAGTGAATTTTTGTGCATTTTTTACCATTCAGCTGTTTTGACATTGATGTCTTCTTTTAAGTTTGTGTCTTAATCTTCCATGTCACCAAACTAAATTTTTATGGTCAGGTTATTTTGTTGTTGTTAGCTCATTTTCCAGGCTATTTCTTGACTTTTAACTTTGTGTTGGGTGGTGGAGTCACTGTCCCAAGTTTCAGGTTTTTCATGCTCATGTTTTCAGATCTAGTTCTGAAGGTCTGTAAGTTTTTGGTGCTTCCAAAGTAGTATGATTTAAAGGGAAGTGTGGTCACTGTTCTTCTGGCCTGTGCCCTGATTTTTACTCAGAAATGGACCTTGTTTCCCTATAGTCATAAGTGCTATCTCTCTTTTTGGACCTAAAACTGTTAGTGCTCCTTTCTGCCTTGGAACTAAGACCAGGGTTCCCACTCCTTAAATGCACTCTTCTCTACCCTGGAACTATGACTGAGGGCCCTGATCCCCTTGACCACAAGCATTAGTGCTCCTCTTCACCAAGGATCTGTGATCCAGAACTATATATAGGTAATACAACAGGGTCATATACCCATACCACCAATGGGTCCCCTGTAATCTCTTTCTGACCGACCCTCTTACTACCTCTGGACTGAAATCTCCTAAAGCTGCCACCACTTTCTGTTGCAGCCACCTCCAAGGCCTGCTGCTGGTGTGCACCATTCTCTTGGCTGAACACTACCCTGGTGTCACAAACCTTCCTTCTGACCTTCTAAGTTGTCTTGGGCTGGACAAATGTCTCACTCTGATCTGTTGTTGGCTCTTCCACTCCAGAATTCTATTTGTGACATTATTTTAAAGTTGTTTGGAGAAGAATGTTGGGAGGGTTCAGTTGAATTGCTGCTTATACTCTACCATCTTGGCTCCCCATGCCTTCTTTCAATATCCCTCTATAGGACAAAAATCCTTCTGGGACAATAAAGGAAAGGAGTCAGTGCTGTCTGGGGCAGAGAAGATTATTGAATGGGAAGTAGCTATGGAGGATGGACCAGGGAGGTCAGTGTTGAAGGAAGAGAAAAAGAGGAAGGAGGAGTGAAGGCAAAATCCATCCTTCTGAAATGGTTGTCTGCCATGTCATAAATTATACCTGGAAAATATCTGCTGCTGTTATAAGGAAAATTTGGGGGGAAGCATTCAAAAACAGGGAAATAGCAATGGGGATTAGTTCTCTTCCTTAAAATGAATGAATGAGTGAGTAAGTAAATGAATGAGTGGAAAAGCCTTTATTAAGTACTATACGCCAAATACTGTTCTACTTTCTGGACATACAAATACAAAAAGTGAAGGTAGTGTCTGCCCTTAAGGAGCTTATCTTTTGCTAGGGAACAGACACCTATAGGAGAGTAGTGGCCAAAGAGGGATATTTTAGTTTGGGAAGTAACCAGAATGGTAAGTGAAGCGATAGGGAAGTAGATCGCTCACCTTTCCTGCAAACAGTGGCAGTAGTAAATTAATTAAGGCTCCAGAACTGGAAAGGGGATGCATGTAGCAACATGGTGACTGGCAAAAAGATGGTTAGGGAGTAAATGAAGCATGGCAGGGCATGCCCAGATAGGATGAACTACAAGAGCCCAGCTATCAAACCATTCAGACAGAAACTAGATGAAAGTCAGGGGATAACTGTTTCTCTCTGTCTCAAAACAGTCAGCACCTTCTGGAGGCTTATTGGATAGAAAACTGAATAAGACTCCAAGCAACCAGAGAATCTGGCTCAACATACTTAGAATTAAAATGTTAGAGCTGCAAAGGCTTGTAGAGATCATCTAATGTAGACAGTCCTGCCATTTTTCAGATAAGGAAACTGAAACCCAACAAAAAAGTGTCTTGGATAATGATGCAGAGCCTGTTAATGGGAGAGCTGGAATAAATGGTCTGGGTTGGTTTCCTCTGGGCTGAGCGCTCATTGGAATCTATTCCCCTGACCAACAAGAAGATCCACTTGGAGGAACCCCACCCTTGGCTCCCTGAGACATGCCCTTCCTGCAGATGAACTTTAGAACCCTTGAGTTATAGTTGTCTGATCTGCTGAGGAGCTAACCTGGTTGTAATGACGCATATTCTCGTCCTTGCTACCCCAGTCGTAAGCTCTGAACTCGTCCGATCGGAAAAGCTGAAATGGACAAGGAAATGGTAAATTACGCCATGGGAAAGATTCAAAGGCAAATATTCTATAGAATAGAGTGCCTCATGGTGCTAATGACATCACTTCAAGAAGAATCTAGTCTTTCCATGTTTTAGGGAGGTGCTAGAGGGCAGAAAGAGGCACAGACACTCATGTCCACACAGATACACATAGAGAATGGGGGGGGAGAAAAAGAGAGACAGATGCACAGACAATTGACACAGAGGTACACAGAGACACACAGAGGAAGAGGAGAAGAAGAAGAAGAAGAAGAAGGAGAAAGAAAAGAAGAAGAAGAGGAAGAGGAAGGAGGAGGAAGAGAGATCAAGAAAAAGCAAAGGCAACAAAGAAAGGGAGAGAGACAGAAATGGAGACAAAGTAAGACACAGACAGGAAGAAGAGACAGGACAAGAGAAAGAAAATAAGATAAGAAAGATAAAGAGAGGAGATAGGAAACAGAGGAGAAGAGAGAGAGAGAAGGGAGAGAGAGAGAGAGAGAGAGAGAGAGAGAGAGAGAGAGAGAGAGGACAAGTATGATGTATGACTTCTCTTGGTACGAAGGCAAAGGGATGAGCGTCTGGACACAGCCACCATCTTTCCCACAAATACTTCTGCTCTCCTCTCCCATCAGCTTCCCTCTCACCTCACCTGCCTACACCCAGGCCATGCCCTATGCTAAGGCAATGGCCAGCTCACTATTTCCACAGCCCAGGGTCTTTTTCAGACAGGAAACAGAATGCATTGACCAAGGAGCCCCCACATCCTGCCTATTTTCATTTTCTAGTTATACAGCTAGCTATAGCAGGTGAGACAGCTGACCCAGACAGCACTCTTTGGCATTCAAAATACAAAAACCATCACAGGGGATAGTAAAGAAGCCAACCCAATAGGGACTCCTAGAGTATCAGAGCTAGAAGAGACTTTAGGCATCATCTAGCTCAGCTTCCTCATCAGACAGAAGAGGAAACAAAGGCCCAGTGAAGGGAAGGGACTTGCCCAAGGTGCCAGAGCTAATGAAAGGCATGGCCTAGGCTTAAAATCAGGTCTTCGTAAGACTAAGGTCACTTTCCACCATCCCCTACTGCTTTCCCAATGCCAAGGAACAATATTAAGTCAAGTCAACAAGCATTTATTAAGTGCCTACTGTGTGTCTAGTCCCATGTTAAGTGTTGGGGGTACAAAGACAGACAACAACACAGTTCCTGCTCTCAAGAAGCTCACATTCTAATGATGAAGACAACGTGCAAACTCCTGCGTGCAGACAAGCTACGGACAACACACAGAGGGGAGCCACCATCATTAAAGTGGGTCAGGAAAAGCTTCTTGCAGGGGGTGGGGGGTTAGATGGGACTTGCAAGAAGCCAGAACAGCCATGAAATAGGAGGGAGAGCATTCCAGGCATAGAGGAAGCTGCTGGAAAATACCAGAGTCAGGAAATGGGGCAGGGAGAGGAACAGCCAGGAGGCCAGCATCACCACATTGTAGAGTACTCGGAGGTGAACAAGATGTAAGAAGGCTCAAAAGGGAGGAGAGGGCTAAGTTATGAAGGGCTTTGAATGCCAAACAGAGCATTTTGTATTTGATCCTGGAAGCAATAGGGAGCCACTGCAGTCTATTGAGTAGGGGAGTGACATGGTCAGAGCTACACTTTAGGAAAATCACTTTAGTGGCTGAATGGAGGTTGGACTGGAGTGGAGAGAGGCTTGAAGCAGTCAGACTCACTAGCAGTTATTGCAATAGTCCAGGTGTGAGGTGATGAGGGTCTACACCAGGGTGGAGGCAGTGTCCAGGGAGAGAAGAGAGCATATTGGAGAGATGTTATGAAACTAAAATTGACAAGCCTTGGCAATAGCTTGGATGTAGGGGGAAGGGGAGAGAGATAGTGAGGAGTCCGGGATGAACCTGAGTGACTGGAAGACTTTTCAAAGATCTATTTGGGGCCAAGCACATTGAAAGTCAAAAGATCCTAAGCAGCCAGCAGATGGGAGAGGAGAGAGAGAGAGAGAGAGGGAGAGAGAGAGAGAGACAGAGACAGAAACAGAGAGACAGAGAGAGAGAGAGAGGGAAAGAGACAGAGACAGAGACAGAGACAGAAACAGAGAGACAGAGAGAGAGAGAGAGAGAGAGAGAGGTGGGAGGGAGGGAGAAAAAGAGATAGGAGAGAGGGAGGGTGAAGGGAGGGAGAAACAGACAGACAGAGACAGACAGAGAGACAAAGACAGACAGACACACACACGGGGGGGAGGGGGAGAGGACACAGAACTTCAGTGATAAGTCACTCTTACCTGTTTCAAATGCAAAATGTTTTGTATTGATGTCCCAGAAGGAGAATGGGAAAAGTAGATAGAAGTTCGGCTCTGAAAGAAAAAGCTCACTCAGCAAATGTCATCTAAAGAGACAGAAATCTCTACTTCTCAATTATTATTCAGCAGGGAGCAATCATCTCAAGACTGAGAGCTGAGATTGTAGAGCAAGAAGCTACCTTTGAGCTCATATGGTCCAAGCCCTTCATTTTCCAGAAAAGGAAACTGACCGTCAGAAGGGGACAGGAGAGAGCTGAAGTCAAGCAGAACAAGAGGGAGGAGGCTTTTTCTGCTTGGCCTCAGAGGTCAGAGACAGGAGTAGTGGGGAAATTTGGCTGCAGTGAGGTCAGGAAAACCTGACCAATAATGAGACCTTTGAGGTTCCCAGGTTAGAATGGAGAGGAACTTCACAGGCCTTTGGTCCAATCCCCTCATTTTATAGAGGAGGACACCAAAGTCCAGAGAGGCTCAGAGATCCCAAGGTCACCCTGCTAGTAGGTGATGGAGCTAGGAGTGAACCCATTTCCTCTGATTGTAAGTCCAAGGCTCTGGACTTCTATTATTTCATGTGAGGTCAGGCCCTACAAACCAGGACCCTCCAGGCTTCTTTACTGGGATTCTACATGAGTTCATGTAGCTTCACCCATTGGGAAGAGGGCTTTCCAGTACTCTTCCTATTCTTTTCTGAGGGCGTTCTGTGAGTGTGGTGTTATGTTGGGTCCTGCACGGAGCAAAACATGCATTTTGGATGAGGGGCTCTGAGGAACTGGAGTCCAAGAAAATTTTGCACCTGAAACAAAGTAGTAGGGGTGGGAGGGGAGGAGGCTTAGTTGGGATGTAAGACCTAGAGGAAGGAAATATAGCTGAGGAATATACTCAGGTTTTTGTACTCTGGAAAGACAGGTGTTGGGGAGGGTGAGGTTAGGGGTGTGACTTTCGGAAAAGGAGACAGTCAGAATAGGGAATAGAAGAGTTCCTGTCCCCTCAACCACTATGGGGCAAGATAGTACAGTGGCACCCTCTACATTTCCCACCCTGGGGCAAAGCGTTAATGGCCTTGCCCTGGTTCCTCTTCCTATGCCAGGTGCTTGTTTTTCTCCAGCTTGGCCAGGAACCCTAGGGAGAAGTCACACATTGGAGCATCACATGTGGACGCACCATAATAATCTGAGTTCATTGTCAGTGCCAGACTCTGGGTCACAGGGGGCTTCTAAAGCCCTAAAAACTAGGTATGAGCAGAGATGGAACCACAAAAATCAAAGAAATATAGATCCCTTAAGACCCCTGGTTTTTACGTACCACATTCAGATTTTTGATGTCAAATCCAGCCCACAAGGTGAGAAACCCAGAACATATCCAGGAGAAGACTTTCCGGTTGCACAATTTCATAGAAGGTATTTTCTTTACAGAATCTTCTAACAGGAAACCTTTGTTTCCCCAAAGAGCCTGTGAACACGGCAGATAGTTTGCTTTGAAAAAGCAGGCAAGCTTCTTGACTTGGGAGGTCATTTTTATCACTGGGCACTTTAAACCTTCAGGGTCACATTCACTTGTAAGAAGTCAAGTTTATCCAAGACAAGCCAGAACAGCAATAAACATGTTAGCACAGCCTCAGACACACAAAAGATGGCATCTTACTGGCAACCATAGGAGGAAGGCAAGTAGGGACTATGGCCCCCATTGTTTGTTGTCAAAGCTCAGAGAGGCAGAGTAGGAACACGGTTTTAGAGTTGCAAGAGACCTTAGAGGCCATGGGGTCTAACCGCCTCATTTTTACAGATTTCAGAGGAAACAGGTCCAAAGGGATGGTTGCGTGATATACTGTATAGGGTGTCCCAAAAGTCTTAGCGCAGGTGGAAGTTTAATAGGATTAGAACTGAGAATTTGGTTAATAGCTTTAAACTGCACTAAGACTTTTGGGACATAGACTTACATGTGTTTAGAGAGAGATCTATTGTCTCCTCCCCCTGCCCCCATCTCTTTTTAGCATCTATCTCAAGACATTGCCACCATGCCTCAGTTGCCATTTCTCCTGAAATAGCCCTCAGTGCCTGGGGTCTTCTTGCTCTCTGTGTCCCTAGCTTCCTCCTCCCTCTCCTCATTTTTCAACTCCCTTTGGTGTATGATCTTCTCCAATTAGAATGTAAGCCCTTTGAAGGCAAGAGCAATCTATCTTTCTTTTTGCTTGTATTTGTATTTCCGAGACTTAGTGCCTGGCATATAGTAAGTGCTTAATAAAGGCTTATTGCCTATTGAAGACCTATATAATTGCAAAATCTAAAAGGCAATAATGTAAAGGGAATTCCATTCCAAATAACTACAAGATGCATAAAATATTTTGGTATTAATCTACCAAAGCACACAAAACAGTTGTATAAATTCAATTACAAAGTGATCCCTAAAGAAATATTAGAAAACTTGAATAGCTGGAGGCATATTCAGTGCTCATGGCTGGGACATGCCAATATAATTAAAAAACAATTTTACCAAAGTTAATTTATAATTGTAATGCTTGAGCCATCAAACTATCCATGGGGTACTTTATATACCCTGCTAAAATAAATTCATTTGGAGAAAAAAAAGTTCTAGAATATGAAGAGAAAAACAATAACAGTAACAACAACAACAATAATAGCCAGCATTTAGACAGCACTTACTGTGTACCAGATACTGTACTAAGTGCTTTATAATCATGTCATTTAATCCTCACAACAACCTGGGGGAGGTGCTAATATCATCCCCACTTTACAGATGAGAAAACTGAGACAGAGACTAATTGATTTGCCCAAGAACACACAGCTATTAAGTGTTTGGAGCTGGTTTTGAACTCAAGTCTTCCTGACTCAGGCCCTGTCCACTGGAAGGATGAAGGGGGTAAAGGGATGAAAGCATTTTCCAGACCTCAAACTGTATTATAATACATAAGTAATTCAAAAACACCTGCTGTTGATTAAAAATAGAGGAGACAGAGCACCGGCCCTGAAGTCAGGAGGACTTGAGTTCAAATCCAGCCTCAGACCAAACACTTGATACATACTAGCTGTGTGACCTTGGGCAAGTCACTTAACCCCTATCGCCTCACTAAAAAAAAAAACAAATAAAAATAGAGGAGACCACTGGAACAGGTTAGACAAAGAAAAATCAGAAACAATGAAAGTTAACATCCCAATGTTGAATAAATAGAAAAAAATTGCTTAGGAAAGAGCTCTCTATTTGATAGAAACTGCTAAAAAACTGGCAAGAAGTATGAGAGAGACCAGGCTTGGACCAACATCTTATACCATATTCCACAATCAATTCAAAATGGTTATGTGACCTTTATGTTAAATATTATGCCATCAAAAAATTGGAAAAGAAGTTGTTCACGTACCCCTCCATAACTACTGGTGGGAGATGTGTTCTTTTTTTTTTGTTTTTTTTGGCTGGACAATGGGGTTAAGTGACTTGCCCAGGGTCACACAGGTAGTAATTGTCAAATGTCTGAGGCCAGATTTGAAATCAGGTCCTCCCGACTCCAGGACTGGTGCTCTATCCACTGTGTCACCTAGCTGCCCCAGGAGATGTGTTCTTAACAAAAAAAAATGATAGAAGCAATTATCAAAGATAAGGTAGATAATTTTGATTACAAGAAAAAATGAAAAGCTTTGGCAAAAACAAATTTTCTGCATCTTACATAAAGAAGGAGCTGAATGGGGGAAAAAAAATCTTTGTATCACATTTCTCTGATAAGGGCATATGAGATACAGACAACTAATAGATACACACAGAGATGCAACCAAAAGCCATTTCCCAATAGCTCAAAGGTCAGAGAATATGAACAAGCAATTCTCAGAAGAATAATTGCAGACTGGGCAACCAGATGGCACAATGGATAGAGCCCCAGCCCTGGAGTTAGGAGGACCTGAGTCAAATCCAGCCTTAGCCACCTGACACTTACTAGCTGTGGGATCCTGGGCAAGTCACTTAACCCCATTGCGTAGTCAAAAAAGAAAAAAAAGAATAATTGCAGGCTATTAACAGTTATATCAAAGAATGCTCCAAATCAATAATGATAACAGAAATGCAAATTTAAAAAAATGGATATTTTCTCCTCACATGCAGAAATTGACAAAGATGACAAAAGATGAGAATTGTCGATGTTGGAGGGGCTGTGAAGCTCTAGGCACAACAATGCTTTGTTGGTGGAGCTGTGAAATGGTATAACCATTTTGGAAAGCAATAGGGAATTATGCAAATAAAGTGACTAAAATGCTCATCTCCTTTAATCCAGGGAGTCCATTTCTGGGCTTAAACCCCAAGAAAGCCATCTGTAAGAAGGAAGTTTCCATATATACTAAAACATTAATAGCAGAACTTCTTGTGATGACAAAGAACTGGATTCCCCATCAATTGGGGAATGGATATATGAATTGTGGGGCATGAATGTAATGAAATTTCACTGAACTATTAGAAATGACAAATATGATGAATTGATACAGAAAAACATTGGAAATGTATACAATCTAATGTAATCTAAGTAAGTATTAGGCACTTACTATGTGCCAGGCTCTGTACTAACCCCTAAGCAAAAAGAAAGATAGATTGCCCTTGCCTTCAAAGAGCTTACATTCTGATTGGAGGAGATCATGCACCAAAGGGGGCTGAAAAATGAGGAGAGGGAGGAGGAACTGGAGAGACAGAGGGCTGTTCAAGGATAAGAAGACTCCAGACACTGAGGGATGTTAATGGCTCAGAAGGCAGCAGAGACAGTAAGGAAAGCCAAGGAAACAATGGAGACAATTATCGCAACAATGTAACCTCACAATGCTCCTACAAAATAATCAAAAACAAATGTTGCCAAATGATAAAGAAGAAGCAGAAGCTAGAAGGCACTGCTACCCCATTCCTTTGGGAGGTCCACGGACTTAGTGCACTGTATAAATTTTTAGGCTCTTTGGATATATTAGTTGGCATTATTTTTTCCTCTTCTTTTTCCCTTTTGTTCTTTTGTGTGTGTGTGTGTGTGTGTGTGTGTGTGTGTGTGTGTGTGTGTGTGGCAGTTGGGATTAAGTGACTTGCCCAGAGTCACCCAGCTAATGAATGTTATGTGTCTGAGGCTGGATTTGAACTCAGGTCCTCCTGACTCCAGGGCCAGTGCTCTATTCACTTTCTCTTTTGTTCTTTAAAAAAAAAACCATTTGTTTTATTTGGAATGACTCTCTGGATGGGAGAGGGGTAGGGTTACTAGGCAAAATTCTGATGATATGAACAAAGATACCAGTTAAAAATTAACTTACAAAAGAATAACACACACATATGGCTTTGAAGGGGTATGAAAACCTTTCTTTCCTCATTAACCTGTGAGAAGATTAGGGTGGGGGCTGGACGAGATCTTAGACACCATCTTCTCCAACATCCTCATTTTACAAATGAGGAAACTGAGGTTTGGAGAGAGGAAGCACTTTGGATTTTAAGATCATAGAATTGGAGCTGAAAGGGACATTAGAAGTCATCTGTAGAACTCCTTCATTTTACAGCTGAGGAAACTGAGGCTTGGAGAGAGGGGACATGATTGCTCAAGGACATACTGGAGGCAAGTAGCAGGGGTGGCCTTTGAACCCAGATCTTCTGTGCTTTTCCACTATACAAGCAGCTCTAAATGTTTAGCTGTTGCCTTGTAAAACAGAGAGCTGTATATGGGATTATAGATTTAGAACCAGAATAGATCGTAGATGTCTGGAAACTGCCGACCAGGTCTTGGCTCACTCCGGTCACATGAAAAGTAAGAAGCCAGGCCAGGATTCTAACACATGTCCTCTAACTCTGGAGGCTGATTCTTTCCACTATACTGTTCCCTATCAATCATCAAGCGTTTATTGAGGTTACGTTTTATCAGGGGACTTAGGGCAGCTAGGACGAATGGATGGAGGTTGGGAGGGAGAAACTGTGGGGTAGGAGGTGCTGCCTACAGAAGGAATGGCTGGATGGGACCCTGCAGGGGGTGGCCCCTGGCAGTTGACCCGTCACCCTTATTAAGAGTGTTTGAAAAGAGAGTCGAGGAGGGTATTAGAGGAGCCAAGCACATTCTTTGCCTTGAGCCTCACCTGTCTGTATTCTACAATCTGTATGGAAAAACTGGTTCATTTCCAGAAGGTCATGTTTAAGAATTATTACTAGTGTTAATCTCCAGCCTTGAGCTGGAAGAGCAAGGTAATGAAACTAAACCCCATCTGACTATACCCTGTGGGAGACTTGCCTGTAACACCTGGGATTTCTTCCTATCATTGAGGCCTCTTTGTAGCATCCTGGGTTTGCTGCAGTAGACTCTGATAGTTATTTACCAACAACGATCATGGTGTTGTTTTCAGACTTAGGACACGTGGATGCCTGAAGACCCTCTCTCTGACACTCACTATAGGGTCATGGGCAAGTCGGTCCCTCTAGGCCTCGGTTTCTTCATCTGTAAAAGGGTCATAGAACTTAGAGCTGGCAGGAACCTTGACAAGTTGCCTAGTTCAGAGGGTAACAGACAGAGCTGGCAGGAACCTCGGAGGAGCCTACACTCACTGCCTCATTTTGGTGCTGAGGGTCTCTGCTCCACAAAGGTGGAGTGTTTTGCCCAGGGTCACACACACACGTCAAGTCAATTAGCATCTATTAAGTGTTTACTGTGTGCTAGGGACTGTGCTAAGCTCTGGGGATACATAGACAGAACACAGTTCCCGCCCTTGAGATCACAGCCCAATTGGTGAGACAATATACAAGCAGGTTATAGGCAGGGTTAATTGGAGAACTATTGGAGGGAAGGAAGGTGGCATTTTAGCTGAGACTTTAAGGAAAACCAAGGGGAGGAAATGAGAAAGGAGAGAATTCCAAGCATGGAAAAAACTCAAAGTCAACTAATAGAGTGTCTGCTGTGAGGACCAGCCAGGAGGCCAGCGGCATCGTAATATAGAGGGCTCGGAGGGGAGGAAGGTGTAAGAAGACTGGAAAGGTAGGAGGGAGCCAACTTAGGAAGGGCTTTACAAGCCAAAGGGAGATGTGTATGTTTGATCTTGGAGGTAATAGGGAGCCACTGAAGTTTATTAAGGAAGGGGGTGATACAGTCAGGCCTGGGCTCTGGGAAAGATCACTTTGGCAGCTGAATGGAGGATGGAGAGATAGAGTGGGGAGACCGGAGGCATGCAGATCCCCCAGCAGCTACTGTAACAGTCCAGGTGTGAGGTGGTGAGGGTCTACACCAGGGTGGGGGCAGTGTTAGGAGAGGAGGGGGCATATCTGAGAGATATTTCCTTGGCGCCATATTGGATCTGGGAGGTGAGAGACAGTGAGGAGTCCAGGATGCCTTCTAGGTCGTGAGTCCATGGAACCAGAAGGATAGTGGTATCCTTGACAGTGACTGGAAAGGTAGGAAGAGAGGTTTGGAGGTTCCTTCCCCCATGGATAGAACTTGGCAGAGCCAGAGGTCATCTGGTCCAACCCTTTCATATTGAGAAACTGAGACCCAGGGGAAGGAAGTAGCTTCCTTGGGGTCACATGGGGTAGTTTGCATGAGAGCCAGGATGCAAACCAGCTATCTGATGTCAAATCTGGTTCACGCCTATTTCATTTTCTTCAATGCCACGAGATGCGGCCAGACAAAAGCCCAGAATACCAGGGCTCATTATTTCCTTTTTGGCTCCAATCTTCCATTCTGTTTGTGTATGTATGTGTGTCCGCCACACAAGCCAAAGAAAATGTGTGACCCACCAACTCCCTCTGGCCCACAGGCTAGGCTATGTGCTTGACCAATCCCCACTGGGGTTGCCTGCTGCATCTTCTCATGGACTTATTGGGAGGACAGAGCTCTGTAAACCTTACAGTGCTCTACAAACATGAGAGATGATGGTCATATCCTTCTTCACCCCACTGACCATCCACCTTCCCCAAACCTTGCTCTGATCTGGTCATCTCTTTCTTCCCAAAGAACTTCCCAGGGCCTCCATCTTGGGAAAGTGTCCAAGCTGGTCAGCTTTTGTTCCCCTCCCAGCTCTGTTTCTAAATTCTCACCTTTACTGCTGTGCCCCACCAAGTATACTCCCCCCCTCCTCTGCCCCCCCATCAGCTCCTTTGGAGTTGTCTTCCCCATTAGAATGTAAGCCCCTTGAGGACAGGTTCTGTCTGTCTTTTGTATTTATATCCCAAGTTTTTAGCACAGTGCCTGGCACCCAGTAGGTGCTTAATAAATGCCTGTTGCCTCCCCTTGTAAAAGGAAAACTTTGGATTGTCAAAGTCCTTTCCCATTCAAAATGTAGAATCCTTAAAGGGTAAAGTAAAGGTCAGCTAGTAAAATAGAGCAAAAATGTGCCTTGGGGTCCTGGGTCATAGGTCTAGAGAGAGAAACCTTGACATTTATCTGGCCCACATCCTTCATTTTACAGATGAGGAAACTGAGGTTCCGGGGGGGGAATGACTTGGGAGTGTCACCCTCCAGTGACTTGCACATACATATTACTTTTCCAGTAGAAAGTAAATGCCTTCAAGACAAGGACTGCTTAATTTTGGTCTTTACAACTCCAATAGACCATTAATAAATGATTGTTGATCTACTATTAGTCACGTAGGTACTGATTCTCAAGGTAGGATTTGAACCCAGATCCTCTGACATCAGAGCTTCTGCCCTGTCCATCATACTGCAGTGTGCTCCAGAAAAACTGGCTTCTATATCCTGCCACCAACATTTATTAACTATGTGGTCCCAGGGAAATCACTCAACCTCTCTGAGACTCAGTTTCTTCAGTTATAAAATTGAGATGTTAATGCCTACCAAACATTAGTTGACAAGGTTGGTGAGAGGAGCAAAGAGTATGCACAGAGTGCTTCACAAAACTTGGTAACTGGATAAATGTCTCCATTAGAAATGAATGATGATGGGCTCCACCCTTTTCTACTACCAGTATTGAGAATCCAAAATTGGAATACACATGCACACACATACAAACACACAAACATGCACAGACAGACACACGCACACACATGCATCATGCACACATGCCCATAATACACATATACACATACACACACTGGTGCACATGCATACACACATGCATGCACACCCATACATAAACAGACTCACATGTGTACAAATACACATACACATGTACGTATACACAGAAATATAGACACATACACATGAATGTCCACAAAACACATGCACACACAATACAATACACAATGCATACTCATACATAATATAAAGCACATGCATGCACACATGAATGCTATATGCATACACACAGATCTGTGCACAAGAGAATACACATCCACACAATGCACAATGCACTCATACACATGTACACACATACATAATACATATAATGCATGCACACAATGCAAAACATGTGCACACATGTATACACATATACAAGATACACATGTACCCTACACAGAGAATGCGCACTTACACTGCATAATATACACACATGCATATACACTATATGTGCACAGGTATACATATACACTCACACCCATACACTCACATCAGTAGCCACGCAAAAGCTTTGTCGCCTTACTTTCATTTTCTTCTAAAGGTTCTTAACATAATTGAAACCCTCCGAGACTTGGAGCGGCGGGGGTGGGGTGTGGGTGGCCCACGGGGGGAGGGAGGGGTCGCTGCCTACCTTGATGACCGACTGCGGAAGGAAAAAGAAATTGGCAAAGATACTCTTGGGATATTTGAATGAAGCCACTGGACCCAGGACAAAATTCATTTTGATTCTTCGGGCCACTTCTGGTCTAGTGGCTAAAGCAATAAACCCTGAAAGAAGAGGACAAAGCAGCCTGATGAAGGGAGAAGCCCTGGGGCCTCGTCTATAGGATGATGACCCGAATCCAGGCCCTGGGAGGGGGCATCTGCCCCCTCCCATTTTTATGAGTGGGGGGCTCTTTTCCTATAGGCCTTTTAGAAGATCTAAGTCCTTCTCCATCTTCAAGATGTATTCAATCCTCTCTACATAAAGGAAGTCTTCCTTGCCTTCCGCCCCAGAGATCAACGACTTCAAAGTCCTCATTTTATAGAAGAGGAAAATAAGGGGATGAGAGAAGAATTCACTTCCTCGAGATCCCAGACCTAGATCCTTCTGACACATGGGACCACAAGCAAGTCGCTTTTCCTCATTGATTACTTATGCTTTTTTCCCTGTGAAGTTATTTTATATTTATATTCTCTAAGCATCTACATTCCTATTTAATATTTATTATTGATATTTATATTGGCATTGATTGATATTTGATAAACCCATTCACATAAGATTCTTTTGGGGAAAGGGTCCAAAAGATGAATGAAAACTAACCTCATCCACAAAACAGAAGCCTGGCATAGGTGCCTCTGAGGTTTCTTCCAGGGCGTGGCCCTCATGCTTGGGATCCTCTCCTTCCTCCTCCCTGCCTCCTGACCTTCCTGGCTTCCTTTAAGGCCAAACTAAAATCTCATCTTCCGCAGGAAGTCTTTCCCAGTCCTCATAATTCTACTGTCTTCTCTCTCATACACTTTTTATGTATCTATTTATCGAACTTGTTTGAATAAAGAGTTTCCATGTTCTCTCTCCCCCATTACCTTGGGAGCTACTGAGGGCGAGACTGTCTCTGTCTCTTTTTTGTGCTTCAGTGCTTAGTACAGGGCCTGGCGCATATGGGCACTTAATAAATGCTTTTTGACTGACTGTCTCAACTCCACAAGGGCAGTCGAAAGAGCTTTGGATTGGTAGTTAGACCTTGGTTTGAATCCCAGTGCTGCCATTTAATCACTGTGTGACCTTAGGCAGAGTGCTCTCTGTGCCCCATATCTGCATCTGTAAATCAAGGGGATTGGTCTAGATAACCCTGTGTTCTCCTGCAGCTCTATGTGTATGACCCCAGGACTTTCTCTTCTGTGCTGCATGACACCTGCCACCCATCAGACCCCAATCTGGGGGACGAAGTGCTACGCCATTTGTCAGACATTAGTTCAGTCTCTTCTAAGCATACCTATGGTAGTGCCCAGTGAGTGGCCGACAAAATACAGCTTCTCTTGCCCAGTCTTTTGTACGATGAAGTTGATCACACTTGGGAGGTCGTACCTGCCCATTTCATCAAAACTAGGAAAAGAAAAGAGAGCAAAGTTGTAGTTTGAATCCAGAGTGCTTACCTGCTGAGCTTGGCTGGAGCCAAACTAAATGGGTATGTCTACTTGGGTTTCATTTAATCATTTATTCAGCTATCTCAGTATAATAGACCAGCAACAGCTTGTGCGTGTTTACTTTTTGGGTCCTCGCCTAGTGAGTCGGGAGAGGTTCGTCACCAGAAGGGTGCCCCCAGGGGTTGAATTGTTTGCCCAAAGCAATTCAGAAGGAGCAGTTACTTTTGAAGAAAGGCAAAACTGCCAGCCTGAGTATCAATACTGCCAACTCTCAACACCAAAAACAAGCGAACAAACAAACAAATAAATAAATGAATGGATAACTAAATAGAAAGATGAATGAATAAATAAGTAAATAAATAAATAAAAACCAAATGAATAAATGAATGAATGAATGAATGAATGAATAAGCACATTCTGAGGCTAGATGGTACAGGTCAGAAGATTTGAATTCAAATCCTGCCTCAATCACTTATTGGCTACCTATATAACCTTGTAGTGATTAACATCACTACAAAATTTCCAGGCCTGCCAGATGAGTTTCCTTCATCTCTCAAAGGAGGAGTTTGGACGTAATGATTTGGCCATCCCAGTGTTCTCGAAAGGTTATGTGGTACAGTGGAGAAAGAACTGCTTTGGAGTCACAAGATCTGTCTTTCCTTGAAAACTCACTGAACTCATTATAATCAGATCAGCAGAATGCCCTGAGTGGAAGGTTATAGCTACAACGAATGATCAAATGAATGAATGAATGAATGAATGAATGAAAAAACATTTCTCATCAACTTACTGTGTCCCAGGCACTATTTTAACCACACTCTAATAGTTAACATTTTTATAGTGCTTTGAGATTTGCAAAGGACTTTACATAAATTTTCTCATTTGAGATCTCAAGAGCTCTGTGAGATAGGTACATTAAATATTATTATTGTCCCCATTTTACAGGTGAGGAAATTGAGGCTCAGCACTATTAAACAACCTGCTCAGGGTTACACATCTAGTAAATGTCAGAAGCAAGAATCTCCTGACTATAAATAATAATTTAGAAGTAAAAAGGAAATTAGAGGCCATCTAGTTCAACCACCTTGTTTTACAGACAAGGAAATTGAGGCACAGAGAAATGAGAGAGACTTGGCCTCCTAAGATTTAGAGCTGAAAGGGCCTTTCAAGAGGCATGTGGTACATTAGAAGTCCTGGGTCCAAATCCTACTTCTGTGTGAGCTTGGGCAAGTCTGCTAAGCTCTGTACCTCAGTCTCCTCATCTGTAAAATGAGATCGGATTGATGACCTCTGAGATCCCTTCAGATGTACAGCTATTACCCTGAGTGCCTTCAGTTCATAGATGGGAAAACTGAGTCCTAAAGTGGCCAAGTGGCTTAGCCAGGGTTAGAGGCAGCAAGAACTGAGATTTGAACCTATGCAGTGTGATTCCCAAACCTCTTCCCCTTTCTTTTCTCACCTTCCTTATGCTCTCCAATTATGGTCTTTTCCTGAAGCCCAGTTTACCTGAAGGCCCAGAATTCTTCTTGCTCAGCTGAGAGGGTCTTGTGTCTTCTGGACCAAGTGTTGCCTCGGCTGTTGCCCATCCATACGTCGTACCCAGCATCTGCTAGAAGAAAACCCAGGCTCCCGTTGGGCTGGTTCAGGAGCCAGGAGGCGTTATCTGCAAAGAGGGCATGTTGCAAATACACCACAGGCCTTGCACCTGAAATATTGAGAGAAACAGAGAGAGAGAGACAGAGACAGGGAGAGACATAAAGCAAGAGACAGAGAGACACACAGAGAGAGAGAATTATCACAGTGACCAAATAAGGCAAATGGTAGTTTGGAGGAACATCAGATGTGGAGCTTAAAGGAACTTTGGAGTTCATCTAATCTGAGAAACTGAGGCCCAAAGTGGAAAGTGACTCCTTCGAGGACACACAGGTGTTACGTGGATCCATTGTGCCAGAAAAATTGACAACATTTATCTCAAGTCACAAGGACAAACGAAATTTTAGAATATACCAGAGTGAAGGATTGGTCCAGTCTGTCTTAGAGTAACTTCACTGGCATGGAATCCAGTGCAACCATAGGCCTTGATTGGCCTTATAAACCACATGGCAAGTATCCTGAGGCTTCTTCACATTTTGAGTTCCATCCTTCATTCCATAAAGGTAAATTATCATAACTACCGACATTCCTATGGAACTATAATGTTGGCAGTCTTTTCCTTACAACCAAGTGAGGTAGGTAGTTCAAGGAATAGTATCCCCATTTTACAGAGGAGAAAATTGAGGCTCATAGAGAAGTGACTTGGTCAGGGTCAGACCCCCCAGTGAACGTTTGAGGTGGGATCCCAAGCCTAGCACTCCAGCCAGTACATATGAAACAAACTCTAAAATGAGGAGGGTATAGATGAAAAAAACATTTCTGAAGCACTAACTTTGTGTCAGGCAATGTGCTAAGCACTGGGGATGCAAATGAAAAAAGCAGGACAGTCCTTGCCCTCAAGAAGCTTATATTCTTACAGTGGGGGTCAGTTGGAGGCAGAGGGCACAAAGTCAAGGCCAGGAAGTGGTTGGTGGTGGTCCTTCAATGTTTTCTGATGATGTGGATTCTGGCAGAGGAGGGGGACCAGGAAATCCCCTTATTTCAGGAGGAAGGAGTGATAGAGAGATAGCTAGCTTATGGTCTACACTGGTAGCTACCAGTTATTACTAGGAAGGCCTCCAGCATGTACAGTGATCCTTCACTTTGCATTTGTGGTAGGATATGCACAAAGATTACTCAGGATGAGAAAGCATGGGCAAGTTGCAATCTGTACCAGTGGGGAGGGGGAGTGTCCACATAGAGGAGATGACAGGTTTAAGGAAGTGTTGATGCTTGGATCCTGGGTAAAATCTGTGGCACTGGCTTTAGAGTTGGAGAACCTGGGTTCAAATCTTGCAGTTGTCACTTGCTATGCTACCTTGGACACATCTCCTCACTTCTTTGGGGCCTGGTATAATGAAAGACTTGAATTTCTGAAGCTTCTTCTAGCTCTAGATACCTGAGCCTATGATACAAGGAAGTGAGTGACCATTGCCTATCAGTGAACCACCTTCCCCATCTTCCTCTTCAAATGATATGTCTGTCTTTGTCCCGGCAGAGTAGTGAAATGGATCAATGAAAGCTTGGAACTTTCAGATGGCTTGGCCTTGGGCAGAAACAGCCCAAGGTCCTAGAGCAGAGAGAGCCCCAGATGACCTGGTTCCTTGCCAGTTACTACTTCTTTTAAGCCAACTCAATTCAATCTGATCCAATTCAACAAACATTGACTAGACACTGGAGATACAAAGGGAAAAATGAAACTAGCTCTTTCCCTCAAGAGCTTACATTCTATTGGAGGAAAGAAGAAGTAAACAGATTGAAAAATACAAAATAATTTTGGATCTTAGGAGAAGAAGGAGAAAATTCTAATAACTGGGGAAATCAGGGAAGTTCTTATGTGGCAGACAGCACTTGAGCAGAGTAAGGGATTCCAAGAGGTGGAGGAGAAGAGGGAGAGCATTCCAGGCATGGGGGACAATTTGTTCACAGGCGCAGAGCAGGAGATGGGATCCCACTCTATTGGTCTGCCTGTAAATGTGAATGATATGACAGAATCAATCCAAGATAGTGGAGTACAGACAGTGACCCAGCCGAACTCTCTTAACCTTCTCCTCCAAATAACTTTAAAATAACTCCTCAAATGAAATTTGGGAGCAGCAGAGCCAATAAGAGGTTGGTGTGAGACATTTTCCAGTCTAAAACAACTCAGGAGGTCAGCAGGAGCAGTCTGTGATACTGAGGTGAAAGCCAATCTAGAGAGCACAGGCAGCAGCAGCCCCAGTGGTGGGTTTTGGAGGTGGTGGCAGCAGTAGGAGCAGCAGCTTTGGGAGCTCTCAGCCCAGAGAGAATAAGGGGGAAGTCAGACAACTGGTCAGAAAAAGATTGCATGTGACCCTTTGCTGGCACTGAGTGCAGCTGGTGCTGACTGGCAACTCTATTGCTCACAGGCAGTCCTGGGTCACAGTTCCAGGGTACGGAGGAGTGCTAGTGGTCAGTCACAAGGGAGTAGGGCACCTGCTTATAGTTACAAGGCAAAGAAGAGTGCTAGCCCTTGGGGCCACAGGAGATCAGGGAATCTGGTCACAATTCTAGGGCAAAGAGGAGCACTAGTACTAGCAACTGCAGGAGAGCAAGGGTAAAGACTAGAGCACAGAACAGGAGAGGAATGACCACATCTCTCCCCAGATTACACCACCTTGGAAGCACCAAATACTTGCAGACCCCTAGAACTAGCTCTGAAAACAGCAGCATTAAAAAGCCTGAAACTTGGGACTGTGTCTCCCCACCCCTAAGTGAGCAGAACCTAATTTTAACATAAAGTTCAAAAACAAGAAATAGGCTGAAAAAATGAGCAAAACAACAACAACAAAAAAGAACTAGACCATGAAAAGCTATTACAGTGGCAGGGAAGACCAAGACAAAAACTTAAAAGAAGATAACACCATGAAAACAGCACAACAGTGCCTCAAAGAAAAATGCTAGTTGGACCAAACCCAACAAGTATTCCTGGAAAAGCTAAAGAAAGAGATAAGAATGGCAAAGGAAAAAAAAATGGGGAAAGAAATGAAAGTTATGCAAGAAAATTAGGAACAGAAAGTTGAGGAGCCAAGATAGCAGAGTAGAGATAGGAAATCAGCTGAACTCTCCCAACATTCCTTTCCAAACAACTTTAAAATAATTCTTCAATAATTCTTCACCCTTCTGAAGGGTGGAGTCAAGATAGTAGAGAAAAGGAAGGGACATGCCTGAGTGCTCCCAAATTCCTCTCCAGAAAACATTAAAAGAATACTTCAAAACAAATTCTGAAGTGGTAGGAAAAGGTCTGGCTCACTGGGGTGAGAATGGAGCATAGTCTAGTGTGGGTCATGTCTGGCAAGCAAGTCATAGGCCTTGAGGGTGACTGAATCAGGAGTGGCAGCTTCTGGAGCTCTCAGCCTAAAGCTGTTAAAGGGATCAAACAATTGGCCAGAAGGAGATTACGGGGGACCTTTGGTTGGCCCTGGGAGCATGACTCTGTTGAGTTGTTCATACATGGTTCCAGGTCATAGTTCCAGGGTAAGGAGAAGAACTAGTAGGAATGAGACTCTAGTCAAAGCTCTAGGACAGAAAAGAGTGCTGGAAGTAGCTCACAGATCAGAGCACAGGCCAGGAGAGCAGTGACTACACCTCTCCTTAGATCAGACCATCTTAGAAGAACTGAAAACTTATAGATGCCCCCCCCCTTCCCAGAATTAGCTCTGTAAACAGCAACACAAAAATCCTGAAGCTTGGAACAGTGTTCCATCAGGGAGCAGATCCCAACTTTAAAATAAAGTTAAAAGTCAAGAAACAGACTGGAAAAATAAGCAAACGACAAAATAAGAACCTGACCATAGAACGTTACTATGGAGACAGGGAATATCAAAACACAAGCTCAGAGGAAGACAATGAAATCAAAATAGTTACATGCAAAACCTCAAAGGAAAATGTGAATTGGTCTCAGCCCATGGAATAGCTAAAAAAAAAAGATTTTAAAAATCAAATAAGAGAGGTACTGGGAAAATTGAGAAAAGAAATGACAGTGATTAAAGAAAATAATAAAAAAGATTCAACAGCTGGTAAAGGAGACACAAAAATACTGAAGAAAATAACACCTTAATAAACAAAATAGGCCAAATGGTAAAAGAGGCACAAAAATCCATTGAAGAGAGGAATTCCTTTTAAAGCAGAATTGGCAAATTGGGAAAAAAGTTTTATAAAAATTCACTGAAGAAAATAATTCCTTAATCTATCCTGCCCTACAGGAAAATAGAAGGAAGAGGGAATAAAAGAAGGGGGGTGATAGAAAGGAGGGCAGATCAGAGGAAGTGGTATTCAGAATGCATGCCATCTTGGGGTGGGGGGAAGGAGAAAGATGGAGAGAAGATTTGGAACTCAAAATCTTGTGGAAGTGAATGTTGAAAACTAAAAATAAATTAATTAATTACAAAATAATTTCTTAAAAATCAGAATTAGGCAAGTGGAAACTAATGATTCCATGAGACATCAAGAAAAACAAAATAAAAAGAATGAAAAAAATAAAAGAAAATGTGAAATATCTCATTGGAAAAATAATTGGCCTACAAAAAAAGATCAAGGAGAGAAAATTTAAGAATTACTGGACTACCTGAAAGCTGTGATAAAAAGGAGTCTAGACATCATCTTTTAAGAAATTATCAAGGAAAACTGCCTTGATATCCTAGAGCCTGAGTGAAAGAATCCATTAATCACCTCTTGATTAAGTTCCCAAAATGAAAACTCACAAAAATTTTATAGCCAAATTCCAAAGCTCCCAGGTCAAGGAGAAAATAATGCAAGTAGCCAGAAAGAAACAATTCAAATATCATGCCTCCACAGCCAGAATAACACAAAATTTAGCACCTTCTACATTAAAGGATCAGAGGGCTTAGAATATGATATTCTGAAGGCAAATGAGCTAGAATTACAATCAAGAATCACCCATTCAGAAAAACTGAGTGCAATCCTTCAGGGGAAAAATGGATAATTAATGAAATTGAGGACTTTTGAGCATTCCTAATGAAAAGACCAGAGCTGAATAGAAAATCTGACTTTCAAATGCAAGACTCAGGAGAAGCATGCAAAGGTAAAAAGGAA